AATGGAATGGGATGGAATGGAATGGATAAGTCAATGCAAGGGAACTGAATGACAGGAAGCGACCGGAAACAGATAGAATGTGAGGTTGCTTGATTGATTAGATGCAAGGACGCAAAGAAGTTGTGCATCTAATGAGCAAGTACTTGATTGAGGGAGTGAGTGGGTGGGTAAGCGAGCGAGCGAGTAAGTGAGTGAGTGAGTGGTGTTTGAGTATGTGAGTGAGTTAGTGGGTGAAAAAGTGGGCGAGTTAGCAAGTGAGCAAGCAAGCCAGCCAGAGCAAGCCAGCAAGCCAGCAAGCCAGCAGGCCAGCAAGCGAGCAAATCAGTAAGTCTTTAAGTATGTCAGTACGCACGCATGGGTTTTGATGCATACAGTGTAGGTATGCATGTATGTATGTATGCATGCATTCATGCATATGCACTGTGTATGTGTAGGTTGTGATTATTTTGGTCGTGGTGGTGGTGCTGCTGCTGTTGTTGTTGTTGTTGTTGTGGTTGTTGTTGTTGTTGTTGTTGTTGTTGTTGTTGTTGTTGTTACCGTCGTCGTCGTCGTTGTCGTCGTCGTCGTTGTTGTCATGGTCGTAGGTATTGTGGTGATTGTGGTAGTTCGTCATCGTTGTTGTTGTTATTGGTGGTGGTGGTGGTGGTGACTGGCGGCGGTGATGTTGTTGGTTGTGGTGGTTGTCCGCATCCATTACCCACCCCTTCCAAGAAAGAGTCGGATTTGATACCTTAGGATATGACAGCCAACGACGTGAAGATTGTGCAGAGCATCTTTGACAAGGTCCACGAAGAAGAGGAGAAGGAGGCCGCCCAGAACATACAAGAATCTAGAATTCCAGAGCAAAACATCATTGATTCTTGCATCTACTATCGAAGTGTCACTGACACTGGACTCTCGCACAGAAAAGCAACAACCAGAGTTGCTTTGTTGTGTGCCCTTGCAACGACGAGGGTTTCGTCCGGCTTGTTGTCTTGCTACCTTGTGGCAAGTGTTGTCAAACCGTATGAGTGTAACGGCAGTTAGCGGATGCTGCCGGGTCCGCCAGAACTGTGTCCTTTTTGATTCCGTGAGTGTTCTATGATGCAGAGCAGTATTTTGTCTTGAGCCCCCCCCCCCCCCCCCCCC